CTGGTGCACCGAGTCCACCTCCTCGTAGCGGCATTGCTGGGGCAGCAGCAGCTGGTCGAGGATCTGCAGCGAGCCCCGCGAATAGCGGATCGCCTCCAGAGGGGGCATGGCGCAGCCAGCGTGCTCCGCCTGGGTCCCGGGCGCAGCGGGCCGCATGTGGGAGGGGCCTCCGCCGGAAGGAGGCGTGTGCGCACACGACCCTACTTGTTCCCCGGGCGCAACAGTCTACTCAGACGATCCTATCCCCTTTTCCGGGCCAAGCTCGGCGTTAGCCACCCCCTCGGAACCACAAAGGCATCACCATTTACGGGGCGTCTTCTAGATGCCGGGCCTGGTGTTTGGCGTCTGGCTGATCATGCTATGACCCCCAAATCCCAGGTGGGCTCCATCAGGCCGGAGCAAGTGCTGCCGGTTGTCTCTGGTAGAGAAAGGCCCTAATTGGGGATGTCAGGAACTAACGGGCTCTTGCTGCTGCCCTGAGGCTTCACCGCCCCAGTGGGGAGCAGGGCTGGTGGTCTGAGTACGAATTCAGCCGGAACCTCAGCCCCAAGAGGGTTACGTTTGTTCATCGCTGTTTCCCCTGTGGCTAGAACAGTGCCTGGCACCCTCCCAGTGCTCCATCAGAATCTGTGAAATGATCTTCCTTTCCCAAGGTTAGGGGGAGGTGACAGGCTATTAATTCCTGGTGTATGTGTGGCTGTTTTGACCTATTTTCTGCTCAGTTTTATGTTTCATTCAAAAGCAGCAACACGCTGGGGCCTTTTTAGTGACCCTTGTAAGGTGTCCCCATGGGCTGACAATGAACAGCTCACACCTGCATGGGCACCCCATGTACCCCCAAACCCTGGGCCCCCTGCGCGGTTCCTGCTGCCTGGTCCCCTACCCACCCTTCCTACTCAGCCCATGTCACTTCCTCTGGGAAGTCCGTCCGGATTGCAGACCAACCTGAGCCACTACCTTGAAACCCTCATCACCCTGGGTGAGGACCATCGCTGTGGTCACAGCTGTAGCCCTGGCATCACCATTTGCTATGAGAGGCCTGCCAGCTTGGTTGGATGGTGGGGTGGGGTAGAGGGGCAGCCCCTGGGCTCATCTAGTAACCGGAGGCAAGGGCAAAGAAGCAGGGCTTTAATAAGTCTTGGGGGGGAAGGGGGGTGTCCTACACGGCACACACACCCGCTCCCCCTCTTCAGGATCAAATAAATAATTCCATCCCTCGGGAAGGCGAGGTCTGAGGAAGGGGTAATGTTTGAGGTCTCGGAGGGCTGGTGGTCCAGTCCCGTAATCACTCACTCTCCGAGTCTGAGTAGTCAGCCACAAGGGAAGAGTTGAGGGTGTAGGGGTGTGGTGTGTCCTGGGGATCGGCTGCCTCCTGGGAGGAGCCTGATGAGGACTGGGGCCTGTCCTGACAGCCCCCAGTCTGCCCTTGAGGTTCCTTGGTCTTGGGGGTCTTGGCTGTCTCCTGAGAGCAGTCTTGGGGGGATGTGGGCATGTCCTGGGTGGTGCCCTCTGACACCGGTAGCTTCCCAGACGTGGAGGTCTCAGCAGCATGCTGTGGGCTCTCTGAGGTCTCCCGGGACTGCCTTCGAACAATACCCAGGCCCCCCACGGTGATGGGGGAGCCCGCAGGTGCAGATTTGCGGTTCTGGGCCAGCTTCTTCAGGACGCTGCCAGCTTTGCTGCAGCTGCTGGGCCCCGAGGCCGAGGGGAACCAGGAGCGGCTGATGATCTCTGTCCGCTTGAGTTTCTGCTTGTCCTCATATGCTGGGGGAGAGGGAGAGGAGGGGAAAGAGGTCCAGAGCCACCCTCTGCCCGGGTCTGCCATTCAAAGCCGGGACCCCCCATCTCTCCCCATCCCAACCCATGCCCTTCAGCCCCACGCACAGTCCAGCGTATGGAACTTGAGCAAGGCGGCCAGCCTGCGGTCGTCCTCTGTCTCAGGCACCAGGGGGATGGCCAGGCTCGCCTTGGCCTGCAGTGCCTGGTCCCTCTCCTCCTCCTCCTGCAGGGCTTTTTTCTTTTCCTGTTGGGGGAAGTGAGGTGGGTATCAAAGCCGTGTCTCTTCCATGCCTGTTGACTCACAGCATTGCTCCAGATCTCCGGGTCTGTTTCCTCCTCTCAAAGCTCCCACTATGGCTGGGCCACAAAAGTTGCTTAACAAATGGGAGGCACAACTGTTATTAACACGTGTACCATCAGTTCTTCACTCATTCATTCCACAAATATTTACATAACGCCCATCTTGTCCCAGGCCTTGTTCTAGACACTAGGAACACAGCAGAGAGCAGACAAAAACCCTTGCCCTTGTGGAACTGACATTCTAGTGGGTGAGTGAGACAAATGTGATGGGAGAAAAAGAATGCCAGGAAAGGGGTAGGGAGTGGCCAGGGGATTCAGCTTTAAATGTGATACAGGGTGAAGAAGAGGCTCAGGGACTGTCTCCCTGAGAAGATCACATCTGAGAAAAGACATCTGAGTGAGGGGCCATGTGGGAACCTGGTGGAAGAGCACTGTGCAGTGGAGGGAAGAGCCTGTGCAAAGGCCCTGAGACGGAAGTATGCTTGGAGCTGCTGAGGAGAGTGAGGAGGCCAGTGTGGCTGGAGCAGAGTGAACAAGGGGAAGGTGGAGATGGGGGCGGGGAGGGGAAGGGGCAGATCATTCAGACCTGGGGGGGAAAGACCTTGGCTTCCACTTTAAGTGGGAGCCAGGGAGGGAGGGTTCTGAACACTGGAAGGAGGTGACTGACTCAGGTGTTCATAGGTGTCCTCTGGTGGGGGTGGGGGAGAAACGGAATGTTGGGGTGCGAGGGTGAGAGCCTGGAGACCAGGGCAGAGGGACTGTGCTAGTCCAGGTAGGAGATGATGGGGGTGGCAGAAGCAGCCAGATACCAGATATAATCTGAAGGTCCAGGCTGACAGAATTGCTAACTGGAGATGGGGAGGGGGAGTCAAGTCCAACTCCAAGCTTTGGGAATTCTGCCTAGGACAGATGCCTTCTTCTTTTCCTTTTAATCCTCACCAGAGGATATGTTTTTATTGGTTTTAGAGAGAGAGGAAGAGAGAGAGAGAGAAGAGAGAGAGATTGGTTGCCTCCTGTACACATCCCAACTGGGGATTGAACCCGCAACCTAGGTATGTGCCCTGACTAGGAATTGAACCCCCAACCTTTTGGTGTATGGGATGATGCTCCAACCAACCGGGCCACCCAGCCAGGGTGGACAGGTAACTTTTTTATTGAGAAGAGGGGATGTGGGCGGGTAGGGTAGGGACTGAGGTAGGCTCACTGGGATGTTATGTTTGAGGGTCCTTCTACCACGTGCAGAAGCCCAGAAGGCAGGGGACACATAGCTCAGGGCACAGGCCTGGCTGCAGGGAAGCACTTCTAGTAACAAGTAATTAGTAAGAAAACTAGAGCCCTGGCTGGGTAGCTCAGTTGGTTAGTGTAGTCCCCATACACCAAGGTTTAGGGTTCGCTCCCCAGTTAGGGCACATACCAATGAACGCATAAATAAGTGAAACAACAAATTGATTGTTCTCTCTCCCTGATCTCTCTCTCTCAAGTAAATAAAAAGACTAAAACAAACTAGTAATTTTACTCCTAATGATGACCACAGAGTGATCAGAAAAGGAAGCAGGAAGAGATGGGAGCTGTATGGTAGTGAGGGAACTCGTGGCCTGTGGGGTTAGCCCTAATGCTCCTGCTTGGGCTCCATCTGCAGTGTCCTGGGCACAGTCTACCCCACAGAGTGGGAGAAGGAGGAGAAGGTTCTCACAGTGCCCTGTCAGACCCTGCAAGGGTGAAAAACCCATCTATACGGGTGAGTTTTCACAGCCCCACCAAGCGTTTTTGGCACAACCTCAGTAGCCATTGTGGTCACTGACGGCAATACCCCGGGGTGTCCTTTAGCGTTTGTACCTGTGCCCTCAGTGGCTCTCCACACAGGTGCAGATATCCTGCCCACACATTATGCAAATTGAAATATGCATTTTATATGTATTTTATTATAAATGATTTTCCCTTTTTTCTCATAGTCAGCACATGGCAGGGATGGTTTTGGAAATTATTTGGGGCGGGCTGACAGTCTATGGATTTTGTTTTGGGACAGCTGAGTGGGCCCATGAATGTGTGTTAGGCGTTGACCAGTTGGTCAGTACCCTGACACCCACAGCGGGGTCAGGCTTCACCCGTGCCCTAGCTTGAGGCTCGTTTACCCTTGGAGATCTGTTGAAAGCGAAGCCCAGTCCCCATAGGGGAAGGCGCTAAGAGCTTAAAAATAGCCGCTGGGCTAGGTGCCTCCCATGAGCGCTGTGAGGTCTTCATGATGCAGGTGGAAAAATTAGACTCAGTGGATGAAATGACATGCCTATAGCTAGTATGTGGTGGGGATAGGGCTGGACCTGGTCTTAACTTGCCATGTGAGCGGTGCCAGGTGCCCTGCCTGCCTGTGGTTCCAAACCTGGGCTGGAAGCCACTCACCCGGAACCTTTTCCGCAGCATGCTGTTGAGGGCAAAGTCGTCCTTCCAGGCGCTCTGTGCCTCCTGGATGTGGCTCAGGGTGGGGAGGGCCTTCTTGAGTGTGCTTCGGTCAGCCTCCCCGTGCTCCAGACGGAACATGGCGTCTGTCTCCAGCTTCTGCTTCTTCTCATGCTCTGCAAGGGCGGGAGTGTGGCT